CCGGACATGTCCGACTTTTGGGGCTTTCCCCCTGGACGGGGATTTGTGGGTGTCCGTGTGGGTCTGTCTGTGTGGGTCCGTGGGTCGGTGTGTCTGTGGGTGTCCGTGTGGGTCCGTGGGTGTGTGTGTGGGTGTGTGTGGGGGTCCGTGGGTCTGTGGGTGGTCGTGTGGGTGTGTCTGTGTGGGTCTGTGTATCCTCGTGTCTGTGGGTGGCCGTGTGGGTGTGTCTGTGTAAGTCCATGGGTCCGTGTGTCTGTGGGTGTCCATGTGGGTCCGTGTGAGTGTGGGTGTCCGTGTGGGTGTGTGTCTGTGTGGCTCCATGGGTCCGTGCGTCTGTGGGTGTCCGTGTGGGTCCGTGGGTCCATATGGCTCTTCACATGGATGCATGAGGCGGTTCCCGTTCCTCCGAGTCAGGTCTCTGCAGTTCACCCTCCGGCTCAGACACGGCCCTTTTCCCCGGCCCCGGCCACAGCTCTGGGTGTGGTGCGAGTGGAGGCACGTCCTGCTTTGCCTGTAGGGACGGGGAATGAGCTCCCCCCTCATACACAACCCCATCCCCAGCCAGTTCTCAGCCCCACGGTGCAGGCGAGGATGCCGAGGCCCAGGGAGCGGCAGGGACTGGCCCAGACCCAGCTCCCCAAGCCCGGTTCTACCCACCAGCACCCTGCAAACCGTCTCCTGCGGCTGCTGAATCGCTGCTCTGGGTTTCAGCGGTGCCTTGCACCCGGCTCGGCTCACAGCCCTGCCCTGCAGCACCCCCTGAGCAGGATGCGCCCGATCCAGCCCCGCATCTTCAGCCCACCCAGACGGCATGTCCTATAGGGCACCCCCTGCCCAGCCTGCCCTGCCCGACCCCGAGCACCCTTGTTTGCAATGGGGCTCTGGCTATGAGCTGACTGGGAGGTGCTGAATTTGCCCCAGGCCTACAGGAGACAGGGGACCCCAAAAGGCAGCCAGAGGGGGGAGGACTCAGCCACAGATCTGCCGGTCCTTGGCTGCCTGGGAGTCGTCCACAGGGCACCCTGGGGCTGGCCTGGCCTAGCTCCACCACCTCGAGCCCATGAGCCGCAGGTGCCAGCTGAGCTGCTCATGCCCGCAGGAGGTGCAGCCAGGCCCGTGTGGCTGTTCTGACCCCGAGGCCCCGTCTGGATGTGCAAGATCACGGGACCAGAATTCCCCCAAGGCCTAGCATCTGTGCATGGGGTGGATGGCCTCCTCCCCAGAGCGAGCTGCACCTCCGTGGTATGCTCAGTATAATCTGGGGCCCAATGAGCACCAAGTGGGGAGCGAGTCCCCAATTCTCCCATCTCCCTGCAGCACAGTGACCCTCTGGGGCTGGGGGTCCCGTCCCTGCCAGCCAGCTGGGACCCCCAGAGTGGAATCAGGGCCCCTGTGGGCTGCCGAGAGCAGCTGCCATGTGGCCCATCATCCCGGACGCCCCAGCTGGCTTCCAGGCCCCAGGAGGAAACGTGCACTTGTGAAAGTCGGATGCATTAAATAAAACAGCGGAAGGGCCCTCTTGCCATGCCAAGTGGGTCAGGCCTGGGGAAGGGACCCCACCCTGTTCCCCGCCCTCCTTCCTGCCGGAGCCGTGTGAGCTGCCACAGGGCCTGCTTGGGTCACTCCTTTCCTTCCTAGTTCCTGACATTGTGTGCGGAGACCGCCCACGCGGCTGCCCTGACCGCCAGTCCTGCCCCGACCTGCGCGAGGACACGGGCAACGGCCGCCATCGACTGACGGAGAAGGAAGGGGCCTGAGGGACATAGCAGCACAGAACAATCCCACGCCCTGGATGCCTGGGTTCCCGCTGGAGATGGGCCTGATCCTAAAGGGTCTGGTCCAGATCTGAGCTTTCCCGCAGGCTGTGGGGGTGTCGGAGCCAGGAGCAGGGTCGGCCCATCTCTGGTTCTAATCCTCGCTGGGTCACCTGTGGGTTGACTTTAGTGCATCAGCCTGGTCCCACGGGACATTGGCTGGAGCCTGCCCGGTCACGCTCAGGCCCCAGGCCTGTAGGGCAGGGTCGCCACACATGTGCCAGGCCGCTGAAGGTGCCAGCTGCCCCTTCGTGAACAGCTCATTTCAGGTCATCAACCCGGAGGATCCCCGCGCCACAGGGGTTAAAACCCCTTGGCAGTTCCCCCCCATCTCCTCTTGGAGCCCCCGCTTGTCACAACACCCCGGTCCCCCACCCCAGGTTTGAGCCATGCAGGCAGTGTCCAGCCCCCCACCTCGCTGCCCCCCGGGGACAGGGCGTGCTCCCCATCTCCGCCCTGAGTCCTAGCAGCACTTTGGGCCCCAGCGAGCTGTGCCTGGTGCAATCACGCTCAGCTCCGGGCAGCTTGGCCACACGTCTGCGCTCGGCCCTGCCAGTTTCGCGTGGGCTGGCTGGGCTGCCGTGACCCGGCCGGCTGGGGCTGTGTTTAGGCTGCTCTTGTCTCCCCGGTTACGATTTGACCTTGGGCCAGCTGCAGCCCGGGAGGCAGAGCCCCCGTGGTGGTGAATGTCCCCAGCTGGTGTCAGCTGCCCCACTCAGATCTCCCCCAAGTGGCCCAGGCTGCATGGTGCCCATCCCGCCACCCTGTCAACTCCTCTCTGCTCCAGCTGCCAGCACCGACGCCACGTCCCCTAGCACGTTCCCCACTTGCCGGCTGGCGTGCGGCTGTTCCCGGACCTACGGACCCCAGGGGCACAGCGCCATTAGCAGGCTGGGGCGACATCTCTGGGGTGGAGCTGGCCATGGGGGATGGGGAGGCACTGCAGACAGGTGCCCCCTAGCGTGGCACTGGGGTGAGACCTTCGGATGAGAGCCAGGCCGGTGGGATGATGGGGGCACTGAGGGGGCAGGGAAGGGACACAGGCATAGGGATGCTGTCACACATCCACATGGCAGCATCGTGTCAGTAACATACATGCCAACATACCAGTACCATACCAACCCACTGCACCATGCCAGTAGCCCGGTCCCACACCTGTGCCATGTACAGCTATACCAATAGCATATGAGTGCCATGCCAGCATGTGCACATGCCAGTGCCACACCAGGAACATGCCATCACCAGGCAGGGCCCATGTTGGCATGCCAGGATCACGCTCACAGAGGGTTGCCAACCCTCCGGGATTGTCCTGGAGTGTCCAGGAGTGAAAGATGAATCTTTAATTCAAAATTACATCACATGATGAAATGTCCAGGAATGCATCCAACCAAGATTGGCAGCCCTACATTAATATCATGCTGGCATAATGGTGCCATATGGGCATATCGGTGGCATGCCAATACCGAGCCCTGTGATGGGGCCGTGCCGCCACGACAGGGAGGGGGCGAGCGAGAGGTCCCCTCGAGCTGGGTTTGCCGTGGGCGGGTCGTGCAGCCCAGGCTGGCTCAGACCTACACTGTGCCGCCCTTCCCCCGCCCCCGCCCGGGCTCTGTGGAGGGGGAAGGGAGTGGGACTGATGGGAGGTTGCTGGGCCCCTGGAACCAGGCAGGGCCTCGGCCGCTGGCTGACCCCGGGCTGCTGCATAGGGGCCGGTTTCCTCCTGCAGGAGCGGGGGGGGGGGGCCGTAGCCACGAGCCCCTGTCCCAGCGAGGGGAAGTCGAGCACTGACAAGAGCGATGAGCTTCCTTCCTTGTGCAGCGCAGCGCCGGGCGCGGCCTGCCTGGGCCTTGAGCCCCCCATTGGCACCGCAGCGCAGGCGAGTGCCAGGCAGGTGCCAGGACCAGCCAGGATTCTAGGTAACGGGCTGGGGCCAGGGGGGTGGGCAGGGCCCCGGGGGAGTCTGAGTAATGGGCTGAGGCGATAGGAGTGGCATCCTTTAAAAAGTGGAAGTTAAATCCTAGTGAGGAAAATAGAAAGGAGCATAAACACTGTCAAATGAAGTGTAAATATACAATTAGGACGGTCAAAAAAGAATTTGAGAAGCAGAGTCAAAAAGTAATAGCAAATTTTTTTTTAAGTACGTCAGAAGCAGGAAGCTGCTAAACAACCAGTGGGGCCACTGGACAATCGAGGTGCTAAAGGATCACACAAGGACTATAAGGCCACGGCAGAGAAATTAAATGAATTCTCTGCATCGGTCTTCATGGCTGCGGATGTGAGGGAGATTCCCAAACCTGAGCCATTCTTTTTAGGTGACAAATCTGAGGAACTGTCCCGGATTGAGGTGTCATTAGAGGAGGTTTTGGAACAAATTGATAAACTAAACAGTAATAAGCCACCAGGACCAGATGGTATTCACCCAAGAGTTCTGAAGGAACTCAAATATGAACTTGCAGAAGTACTAACTGTAATTTGTAACCTATCATTTAAATCAGCTTCTGTACCAGATGACTGGAAGAGAGCTAATGTGATGCCAATTTTTAAAAAGGGCTCCAGAGGTGATCCCAGCAATTATAGGGTTACCATATCTAATAAATAAAAAAAGAGGACCCTCCACGGGCCCTGGCCCCACCCATTTCCCCAATCCTAGCCCCGTCCCAACCCCACCCCAACTCCACCCCCTCCTCCCTCCCAATCCCAGCCACGGGGAAAGGGCTGCCCCAGCGCTACCGGCTTCATGGTTTGCCGGGCAGCCTCCAGACCCTGCGCCCCTGGCCGGTGCTTCCCCAGCGCAGCTGGAGCCCAGGAGGGGAAGCGCCCAGCCGGGGGCGCAGGGTCTGGAGGCTGCCCGGCAAACCGTGAAGCTGGTAGCGCTCGGGCTTTGGGCAGCCCCTATGCCTCCAGACCCTGCGCCCCCAGCCGGGCACTTCCCCTCCCGGGCTCCGGCGGCGCAGGGTCCGGAGGCACGGGG